TCAATAAGATTCAAAAATTATTCAAAATTGCCACAAAAAATAAACCTTTGGTCCAATGATTAAACAGTAACTGTTTCTAAGGTCAATAAAAAATAAAGTATGACAACCTTACATCAATAAGTTGTATAAGAACACAAAACCCATCAGCAGCTGCACTTGTAGATGTCATCTCTATAAGTGTGTGCTGATAGAAAAAAAAATTGCAAACTGCAAACCTTTTTAACGAGTCATCTTTAGATTACGTACAAAACCAATGACTTCCTTCATAACAAGAGTGTTGGCTCGGATAAGAGCCTTTACATGATCCGTATCAGCATCAGGCCCAGGCTGAGCCTCATACTGCATTGGGGAGACTACAGCATTCTTTTTAAGCAGCCTGCGTTTAGCTGCCAGTGGTAGTCCAGATCCTCTGAGAGAAGTCTGATACATCAGTTGATAAGGACTCTGGGGGAGAAGGGGATAAATAGGGATAAATTACAATCAAAACTAAGAGGACTAGTACACATGAAACTAGCAAAGTACAATACATATAGTAATGAGAAACTTACATCACTTAAGGTGACAACATCATCACTGTCCTCTTGTTTCACTGCGGCATAAGTCTGCTGCTTGGAGTCATCATCAGAATCTGTGAGATATATTATTTCACTGGCCTCTCCTTTCACCTCCTGCTTCAAACGCTGGAATCAGTGGAAAAAAAAAGGTGGTGAAATTATTCCAAGAGGTTGAGTGGCGAAACATTAGGACAGTTTTTAAAACATACCGGCAGAGCTGCAGCACCAAGTAGGTCCTCCTCTGCCTCCTCTTTCACAAACAGGGACGCTCCAATCCACTGGTCATCATTAAGGGGCGACCAATGCCCAACATCATTGCCATCCACAAGAAACTGAAAGGAAGAGTGGGACATGAGATAAAAAGTGGTCAGAGCACACAAGATCTGCGCAACTTAAATGACAATGGCCTAATGGCTCACCTCCAGGGGTGCATCAAATTCAACAGCAACAGGCAACACGAGGGGTGCAGCTGCATTCACTGCCTCTTGAGGTGCAGGTAACACAAGGGGTGCAGGCAACACGTGGGGTGCAGCTGCATTCACTGCATCTTGAGGTGCAGGCAACACAAGGGGTGCAGCTGCATTCACTGCATCTTGAGGTGCAGGCAACACGAGGGGTGCAGCTGCATTCACTGCATCTTCAGGTGCAGCAGCACGGTCCCGTGCAAGATTTAGCTGAATCTTGACAAAGAAAAATGACAGGAATAATGCAAAGACTGTCAAAGGACACTGAATTGTAGCCATACGTACCTGCAGAGGATTCGGACACCCTGTTCCCAAAGCAGCCGTTGTTCCGGTTAAATTGATAACCTTCTGGTGAAGCTCTGACAATTTCAGACCAGCTACATTTGCTGATGGGCCCCCACCAGTCCTTTGGCGATATGCGTTTTTTAAACGTAGTGCTTGGCGGGCACGGCCTCTCAGTCCAATCCAGGCCTACAAAACAATAATAGAAATTTATATGATTTACTAAGAAAATCGGCACGCTTGTTTGGCAATAATATAACAAATACATACTGCATGCCACTTCTCCCCAGTCTTCTGACAACCTGGAATTTTGTTGAGTTCAATGGCGATTGCCTCCCACTTTGCTGGTACTCTGACGACTCCACCTGGAGCTAAGAACTGTGTATGCAGAAGCTCCTTATCTCCTGCAATGAGCTGCAGTAGTTTCGACCACTGAGCATCAGAAGGCCCTAAACAAGAACAAAAACATTTGAGTTTTTTTAACATAAAAGGAACTATTTTCGGAGGAATCGGTATTTCGCCTAAGCCTCTTAGGACCGTGATGTAAGTTAGGTTATGGACATAGAACAAAATATCTCATTTGAGAAGTATGTGTCCCACAATAGGCACATTCATGAGCATGAATGACGGTGATTTGATTGAAGTTGAGGTTAAATTAATAATCATTTAGAAGACACATCTGCCCATTAGGATGACTGTAGGAACAAACTTCAGACCTAGCAATAGGACACGGATTGTCGTTTCAGCAAATCACACAGGAAAAACTCCATTCCGAAACTTCATTTGAAAGGAAACAAAACTCCACTCGAACTACAGTAAGTCACTTACCCATTTCACGCATTTCCACAGATCGCAATTCACAACACGAGGCAGCAGAGTACAAGATCCAATGTTGCCGGCTTACGAGAACATGCACGCGCCAACGCCAACGGCTAGGCTACTCTCGAAACACGAAACACCCACGGGCACGAACCGAAGGCAGAGCCGAGGCGGCCGAAGCCGAAGCCGTTGCCGAACCGATGAGCGTCCCCGATCAGTACCACGCCCGACGCGCCGGTGCCGACCCACGCGAGGCCCCCTCTCCCGTCTACCTCCCCTTGAGCGCTCTCCGGAATCAGTCTGCAGCCGAGCCGAGCGCTCTCGTCGCATCCAGCCGGCGGTCAACTCTCGTCCTCCCCGCCCCACCAGCCCCTCCCCCTCAGCTTTGGCGCTCGGCGCGTTGCAACCTGTCGACAGACTGTTTGTTTACACCCGCACCGTACCGTCCTCGCAGTTTAGTTTAAAAAGTGCTAGTGTTTTATTCTCGTATTTGTCGCGTGGGACTCGACAAGAACAATAATTATGAAAAAGATTACAAGCTTTTTCGCGCGTGCGAAGGCGCCTATAACTAGAAGCCCACAACTGCAACAGCAACAGCCGGCCGCGGCCGCGGCGGAAGGTAAACAGTTTATAGTTTATAGGTTATGCGGAATCATTAGCATGCTTACTTTGGTGCACTGTTACTGTTAGCGTACCCATAATTCTTTTCTTTAAGAGCGGTTTGTTTCGCCTTTATCAGTCAGAGCTCCGACACCGACAAACTCAAACTCAGAGCCAGAGACAAATGCTACTGCTTTGAAGCGTGTGCGTGCGGTGACTGTGACTGAATCAGACCTGGATGATGCAGACGCGGGCGATCCTGTTGAAGGGGCAGTAGCGGAGCCAGCACCCAAGAGGCCTTGCTCTCGTAAGTTGTCGTAGTGCTTTTTTTTTCGCTCCCAGTTTTAAATCTGAGAGGCCACTGCTTTGATGGTGCGGCCGCCATGTCTGGCCGCCTAAAAGGAGTGCAAAAACTTTTAACAGACGATCAACCGAAATCTATATTTGTGCACTGCTCTAATCATTCTCTAGATTTGGTAATTCAAGAGCTAGCAAAGAAATGTGAGCTAATTTCTAACAGTATTTCTCTAGTTAAGGACGTCTCAAATGCTATCCTCGAGTCTTCCAAACGTAAGTCCATCAATGCAAATTTAGTCTTAAAGCCATGCCATGGAAATGACCAGGACCAAGCGCTCAAACCGAAGCGTCTAATTGCACTATGCCCTACAAGATGGTGTGTCCGAGCAAAAGCAATGAAGCGCTTTGTTGAAAATTATGCGAGAGTTCGAGAAACACTTAATGTCATGCTTGATGACGAATCCTGCAACTTTTCGGACGACCGTAGGGCAACTCTTCGTGGCTACCAAACCAAGATGGGTGAGTTTTCGACACTGCTTGCTCTTAATATTGCCATGGCAATTTGTGAACCGGCCGAGCGCCTCGCAACAGTTTTGCAAAGTGTCAATTATACTGCAACTGGAGCGCAGCAGTCTGCACGGGCGTTCCGGGATGTGTACGCTTTCATGGGCAAACCGGACTTCAATCGCATCTGGGAAGCCACCGAAAATGCCGACAGAGAAGAAAAAAAGGAACCATGAATACTCAGCCTCGTTTGCGTGCACCACTTAAACGCCTAGGAGAGATTGGCAAAAAAGCACCAGCAGCGCAACTCTCTCTAACGGAAAGACTGCGGCAGAAATTCATTTCCATCCTAGACTGGTCTAGGAGCGAGCTTGAACGGAGGTTTGAACAGCCTGGTATGAACCGTCTGGCAGAGCTCGAGAGTATTTCACTGGATCATGCCAAAACAGAGGACTGGTCACGTAATGATCTCCACGCAGCACTGGGCCTGCATGCCACTGACTTCGATGTAAACTCGCTTCTTGTACAACTTCAGATAGCCAAAAAAGCAGTGCCCAGCGCCAAAACTGTTTGTGAATACGCTGAGAATCTGGCCAGCCTTCCTAAAATTGCCAGGGAAATGATAGAGCAAGTGGAAAGGCTCGTCATTTTAATTCTCACAGTTCCTGCTACCTCCACTTCGTGTGAGCGGTCCCTGAGTGCCCTCAATCGGCTTGGCAGCTACCTTCGGCTTCCTATGAAGCAAAGCCGACTGACACATCTTGCTATTCTGCATGTCCACAGAGATGAAGCATGAAAATTTCGTCCGTTTTGCTCTATCTCGCACCGTTTGGGTGCTAGGGATCATATCTTGGCGAAAATAAGGTGAAAACGACAAAATGGTCTATTAAATCGTAAAATTTAACTCGTCTGGGGTGTCAGCGC